TATAACTGAATTATTTGTACTGAAAATAATCCCTTATTTTTTAAATTTGAAAAGTTTTAGAAAAATTACAAATCTTATTCAAAAATCTATTTGTAGATTAATATAACTCTTATATTATTTTACCAGAAAATTAGTTTGTAAAAAAAACCTTATTTCATGATTCGGGCCTAATCCTGATGTAAAATTTTTATAAAAAAAATACACGAATCAAACAGCAACTGTAATTACTATACAGCAGCCAAAAAAAGCAATACTCATGCAAACAATAACATAACCATTTTAACTACAATGTCAAATCCTGAGCAAACATTATGATGGCCTCACGCATTACTCAAAATTCCCTTCATTCCAAAATATCAATCATCACTTCACAGAAACCTGGGTTAAGCCTGAATTACAGATGTCTAACCTTCCCGGGACTGGCCATCACAACTGTAGAACGACCACAAGGGGAAGGGAAAAGTAATTTCTACCAATCAACCAAATCACAATAAATCTTGCACAAGGGAAATTCATAGCCAAATTTTTAAAACAAAAGACCGCAAAAAACCCCCCACAGATAAACTCAGAGGACCACTAAACATTTACCACTTTTGGAAAAAAAAGAAACCCGATTACGATGCAACTGAATAAGGACCACCTCACTAAAGGGGATTTCAACTAAACATCTACCAACCAGGCCCCCCAAGTAAGAATTCCAGAACAATGAGTAACTGCCTGTTGCTACCAAAATATTAACCCACAAGAATCACCGGGCAAGCATCCCTTAACCCTTAAACGGGCCCAAAAGTATAATCGTTACTGCGAGGGCCCCAAATTTTTTGAGAAAAAAAAAACTTTTTTTTTTTAATAGGAAAAAAGAGTATATGGTACCCAGGTGTCCCCAATTATTTTAATATGGTGCACAGTGAGTGTGCACATCCATTCTCTCATGTCTAGGCGACTCAGGCTTATTGTGGCAATGTTGAATGAATGACAAACAAAACGTATATATACGTTTGGGGCGCAACGCGAGAGAACGTATATATACATTTGGACCGTTTAGGGGTTAACAGACCACATCTGGACAAACACCATATCCCCTTTAAAATCAGGCATAATCACAGACAACACTGCAGACCACTACCCAACCTTTCTCATAACTAATCTGGGCAAACTGCCACAAGACTACATAATGAGACAGCAACTTTATAGCAGCTATGAATAACATCGATTGGCAAAATGAGCTTGAAGATATACAGATATGAATGAATGTATAAATAATTTTCTAAAAAAAGCCCAAAGCCTCTATAACAAACACTGCCCCCCAAAAAACTAAACAGATCACAGCAAAGAGACTGAATAATCTCTGGCTAACACCAAGCATCCTCAAATCCATTAACACAAAGCACAAATATGAAAAACAGTATAGAATGGGTCAAATAACTAGAGAACAGTCTAAACATTACTCGTCAGCACTTACCAGCCTGATAAGAAGATCAGAAAAATTGTATTATGAAAATAGATTACATAACATCAAAGGTAATATGAAAAAAACCTGGAAAACTCTATCCTAAATTCTTGGAAATAAAAAGTTATCCAAAAACAGAAGAATCAAACTAACAAAATCAGATGAACCCCTACTCACACCTACTGAAGCAGCAAACAGACTCAATGTTTTCTTCTCCACCACTGGTAAAAATCTAGCGAACAAAATACCAAGCATAAACACCCGTCCATCAGACTACCTCATAGGTACCTACCCAAATACGCTATTCCTAGCTCCAACCAACCCCATAGAAGTTACGCTCATCATAAGCACCCTTAAAAACAAGGCAGGAAACATAAACAGCTTGCCTGCTTTTATGTACAAAAAAGCTTCTCAAGTATGGTCGCCAATTATTGCAACGCTCTTTAACAAATCCATTGAATCAGCTACCTTCCCAACAATCCTCAAAATAGCGAGGTTCACTCCAATCCACAAAGGAGGTGACCAAGCTGACTTGAATAACTATAGACCAATATCTAACTTACCACTGCTCTCTAAAATCTTTGAAAAATTAATTCATAGACGGATCTATTCCTACCTCATCTCACACAACATGTTAAACCCTTGTCAGTTTGGATTCAGGAATAATAAAAGCACGAATGATAATATCATACACATGCTAGAACTAATATATACCGCACTTGAAAAGAAAGAAGTCCCACTGGGCATTTTCATTGATTTACGTAAAGCTTTCGATACAGTCGACCATGAACTGCTGTACTCCAAATTAACGCACTATGGTATCAGAGGCCACTCCCTCAACTACCTAAAATCATACCTTAGTAGCAGAACTCAATATGTGCATGCAAATGATGCAAACTCTTCCACCCAACCAATCACAGTAGGAGTCCCACAAGGAAGCGTCCTTGGACCACTCCTCTTTCTCATCTACATTAATGATCTACCGAATGCATCACAGCTACTCAAACCCATATTATTTGCAGATGACACTACATATATATGTCTTTTCCCACCCAAACACAGTCATACTAGCAAACACAGTCAATGACGAATTGCAGAAAATATTTGCCTGGATGATGACTAATAAACTTACCCTGAATACTGATAAAACCTATTTCATTCAGTTTGGAAACAAAGCTGCAAATGATCCGTTTTAAATAACCAAAATGGATCATCAGTCACAAAACCCAGAGGGAAAATTCCTAGGATCCCTTGATATACCCCTTAAGTTCCGGAACATACAACAAATCCCAAAAAAATCTCCAAAAATGTGGGCATACCATAAAAGTAAGGTACTTGTTCCACAATCAGCTCTCCTGCACTGTCCCTACATCATATACTTTATCTTACTAGGAAATTTGTGCAGGGGGGATCAACAACATCCAATCACCTAAAACCCCCCTCAAACCCAGCAAAAGGCGCATTAAGAATGGTAACGAATTCCCACCCCCGCCCTTTACCCACCATTTCAAAATTTCTGAATCTGCTCACCTTTAAAGAACATCCATACTTATTCATGTGCCTATACTACACAAAAACAATACACCAAATATAAACCCTCCACTAAAAATTTCCCTCACCAACTTAAACGGACACATGCCAAACACAAGACCAGATCTCTTTTTGATATATGTATCCATTCACACTGTGAAAAAAACTCTATGCACAAAAAGGGGCCCTAAAATATGGTTCATTACCAGAATGTTTAAAGAACCCAGTTGAAAATCAGTTTAAGACTTCTCAAAACCCATTTAATCACCCTAGACCCAAATGCTAAATCTCAGTACACACTACCACCTATGTCCCCCCAATTAACTTCAACAAACACTTTTTTCCCTTGTTGACGGAAAACAATTTTAACCATTGTTTTTTACAAAAAACTTTTTTTACTAATGAATAATCCTTTGTCTTACAAATAAATTCCTTTAATTAAAAATTACTGTTTAAATAGAAATAATTACTGTCCTACTGTACAATATGATAAAATCCCTTTTGTGTTTAAGTAGTCTGTAAGCCAAATAATGTTAAGTTTGGCCCCTAATCCATAACCCTTGGGATAATGAGGCTCTCTTTGCATTGCAACCCACTATTTTAAAAATTAAATCTCAAAGTACTGTTTGCAAAGCATAAAATAAATAAAAATAATAAAAAAATAAATAAGGGGTTAGGAAAACCAATTTTTTTTATAAGCGGGCTTGAGTCTGGAAATGGGAAATACAAAAGCTGCACTTTAAAGGAGGGGTTTGGGATATTTGGGAGTTTTGGGGGGTATGTTGGTTCTTTATTGTTATGTTCTAAAACTGTTGTGTTTGGGCCCTTTGAAAAACAGTGATTATGTTGAGTGAGGCGAGGTTGAATAAAATGAAAGTATTTTCTTTTTTGGGGATTTTCTTTCTTTTTGGGTCACCCTCCCTCAGTGGGAGATGGCCAATGTTAAAAAAAAAAATGTCATGTAATTCTTCAATTTTTAAAAACCAAAGTCCTGACCAGGTTTAAAAAAAAAAAAAACACTTCTGACAAAAACCCCCCCCAAAAAGGCATATCTGTATCAGGCATAAAAGTTGCTTAAAACACCAATTTGGTTCATGTATGTGGGGGGGTTAACATCAGCAAGGTGGTTTTTGACCCTGTTAACGGGCAAAGGAGGCAAGTGTTTTGTTGCTTGGCTGCTGCTGGAGTGAGAAAGATAGTTTCCCATAAAAGGGTTCAAAAAAATGGTTAGCCAAATTTGGGTTTCTGAAGGTGGGAAGTAAGTGTCTGCCCCTTGATGGGGGGGTGGGGATATTTGCGTTCTGAGCTGTATTTGGCAAGCCCCGGCAAGACAGTGATGGAGTGTTTCTTCTTCCCCCTCCCTCAGTGGGAGATGGAGTATTTTGGGGGGGTTTTTGGAGGCAATGCCCAGGGGCCCGGGTCCATCCCGGCCCTTTTGTGGTGGATCGGGGCCCCTGATCTACCAGGATTTACTGCTGGCCACATGTGAACCGACATACAAACCACAGCCTGGCTGGTCAAGTACTAACTTTAGGTGCCCTCTCTGCTCCTTCTTTAACATGCAGGGGGCTCTGGCAATTCCCCTTGTATATGGTGGGAGGCCAGTGTTAAAAAAACTATAAAATTCATTTTTGTTCTCTAGTGTTATTTACATAATTTTGGAATTAACAAAAAAAAAAAAATGGTCCTGATGAATACAGATTATTCACATTTATTATACTGTAGTTTAAAGATTAGCTTTAATTAGGGTTACCAATGATGTTCAGAGTACAGGGACCAGAATAAACTATTAAGGATTCAGTCAATACAGGCAGGCACTGGAATCTGCTGAGATACATACATAAGCATGTGTTCCCCATTTGACTGGACATTTGTCAACCTGTTAGACTTCATGACAAATCAGTGGTTAATATATTATACTAGTTAATTACCAGCATATAGTTTAATTTAGAATTTTAACACTCTCCTCTCCATATAACTGAAAGTGTGTGGAAACCACACAAAGATCATAACAACTTACCCCCTTCTCATATACTGCTTAATAAGTGTATATGTCTCGTTAAACATGGAGAAGTCCTCAGGATGGCCAAAGAGGATGTAAGCCTTAAGAAGATCCCATAGAAGCTTCAAGTCCAGCTCCAACACCACTCAACCCCTACCCTTCCAGTATTCACATCCACCATTCCTGCAGAAAGATAAATACACAGAATACTTAATATATTCTTGTGTGATTTTACTTAGTAAGCAAAGTCACCTTTCTAATTTCTTATTACTATTGTTTGCTTAAATATTACTAATCGATACTTTCTCTGTCCTATTACTACCTATTTTTTAAAACTTCAATTGATATATTTTACAAAAATTTTAATAAATACCATTTTTACTATCAATACAATTTACTCTTAACATTTTTGAATCTTTTAATAATCATTACTTGCTAATTACTTAACCAGTTTTAATACACTTTTAAACTACTAGAGTACTCTTAATTACCTTGTACGGGCCAAATACCTCAAGTAAAACCCTACCAGTCATTTTGAAAGAAATAAACATTACTTTTTCACTATTTGTAATCTTTATTACTTACTAAATTTTTTTAAACACCATATTTCTACCATAAATTTTTAACTTTTGTACATTAATATTATTTTAACTTCCATAACATTTTGTTCCAAAATTTTAAGTTTGTATATTCAACTCCAACCTTAATTACCTTTGAACCTTTACCTGTGTACCTGCTCCCAAACTTCAATCATCTTACTATCTATTATAACCAAGACATTGCCATTGTTATTTTTTACTTTTATTCTTTGGATTTTAAATTTGTGAATTTTATTTTTGTCAATTTAAATCTGTTATACTTCTTGATCTTGTCAACAACCATACCAGACCCTAGTGAAATTGCAATACCATTTCAATTTGCATTTTTATATTATAAGTTTACTTAAGTCCTTTTCTAAGATATTTTTCATATTTTAGTGACTTTTGTGTGTGCAATTGTTTTAATTTTCAATTATATTATTGTTCAGGCCTTAACTATCTTTTCTAAACTAGTACCAATTACCTCAATAATTTTTTTTTAAAACTTTTTTTTATTATTTTGCTACCTTAACTTGCATATTTTTTATCTTGTCATTAAAATCCTAGTTATACTCTAATTTGTAAAACTTATATAAGCCCTAGTGCAATACAATTGAGAGTTTTGGGCCCTTTTTTTATATCATTAGATTAAACTCAGTTGTACTATAGCTCATTCTAGCTCAATACATAGTCAATACCCAAATTCATTATATTAAAACATAGTGAAATTACTAGGGGAGAGTCTGGTGCTATTTTTAATTTGTATTTTTTATTATTTAATAAACCTAGTTGTACTATAGCTCATTCTAGCTCATACATGGTCAATACCAAATTCATTATATTAGATCATAGTAAATACTATGAGAGTCTGGTGCTATTTTTAATTTGTATTTTATATTATTAGATTAAACCTAGTTGTATATAGCTCATTCTAGCCAATACATATCAATACAAATTTTTAAATATTAACCATAGATAATAACTATGAGAGTTGGTGCTATTTTAATTGTATTTTTAATATTATTAGATAAACCTAGTTTACTATAGCTCATTCTAGCTAAATTACATAGACTATACCAAAGTCTTTTACATTAGACCTTAGTGCAATTACAATGAGAGTCTTGTGCTATTTTTAATTTGTATTTTTATATTATTATTTTTATACCTAGTTGTACTTTAGCTCATTCCAGCACAACACATAGACAACACCACTCCCTTTATGTGTATTAGTGACTATACTCACATGACCAAAATGCTATAGCTAAATACTTGTCCAAAACTTCCCACCACTACAGATTCAGTACTAAAACTCAACCCACAACTCAGGATATAAATAACATAATTTAAACCTAGAAGATGATTGATCAGTTGACCCTGATCTAAACCTACATAATCTGACACACAATCAAAACCTATTGGAAAGTAACTGCCTTTACTAAAACAGCATCACAAGCCAGCACTATCCTTAACAATGCAAAAAGTCTATCAGTACTTAACTACAATATCAGGTCCTTAAGCAAACACTATGATGACCTCCTGGCACTCCTTGAATCACTAAAACACCCCTTCTCCTGCATTATTCTTACTGAGACCTGGCTTAAGCGGGACTTTAATAGTATCAAACACCTCTACCAGGATACACAGCAATCCACAAGTGCAGACCATACCAATTTTGGGGGGTATTGCAATCTATTACCCCTAACCAATTATTTTGTATTAGCACCACTTGCTTTAGTGATGAATAGGGAGAATACTTTTCCCTAATTTTACTGTAAAAAACCTTAAAAACGCCTATAACAATCGGTGCCATTTACCGGATACCCCACACAAACATCCCAAATTTCAGTGAGAAACTAAAGGCACTAATAACAAACAGACAAGTGAAAAAGCACCACCTTCTCTTAGCGGAGACTTCAACATCAACCTTGGCCTACCAAAATGATCAGCCTGTAACGATTTCATCAACAAAAATGAACAACACACTTCTCATACCAACAATAACTAAACCAACCAGGCTCACTGAAACGAGTGCAACCATAATAGACCACATATGGACCAATATACTAGCCCCCCTTAAATCAAGGATAATCACAGATAGCACTACAGACCACTACCCTCCCTTTCCTCTTGACAAACATTAGTAAACCACCACTTGAATACAACAAGTTTCATTTAGACTCCATGATGAGGCCTCAATAAGAAGTTCACAGCTGACCTAGAGACTGTTGACTGGCCTACAGAATTCTCCAAGGCCAATGGTATTACGACTGGACAGACATTTTTTTAACAAATTACTTAGATATACAACAAACATTGTCCTATAAAAACGAAACAGATCACAAACAAACGGCTTGGTTGCCCATGGCTAACCAGCACCATTCTGAAATCCATTGATAAGAAACACAAATATGAAAGCAATATAGACAGGGCTTAATACACAAAGATATTCTTACACACTATTCATCAGTCCTCACCAAAGTATAAGAAAGCCAAACAACTATACTTTCTCCAGTAGATTCACTGACACAAAAGGAGATATAAAAAAGACCTGGGAAAACCACTCTCTCAGATTCTAGGGACCCAAAAACGGAAAAAAACCAGAAATTGCCCTAACTAAACCTAATGAAACACCACTGCATCCCACTGACACAGCTAACAAGATAAACGACTTCTTCTCAACCATAGGTTCTAATCTCGCCAATAAAAATCCCACGCACTAATGCCCCCTACCGGGGACTACCTAATGGGAATTTCCCAAATTCCTTCTATCTTGCTCCAACTGAGGGCCCCTGGAAGTCACCGAGAAAATTTTAAAGTCACTTAAAAATAACTCGGGGAAACTGTCTCATGTCCCACCATTATTGTACAAGAAAGTTGCCCATGGGCCTCTCGCATGCTATCTCATTACTTTTAACAAGTCACAAGAAACTAGCATCTTCCGAAACTACTCAAGACGGCAAGGGTTACACCAATACATAAGGTGGTGAAACCCTACAGATTTAAACAACTATAGGCCCCAAAATCAAACTTACCATTGCTATCCAAAAACTTTGAGAAACTCGTGCACAGGAGACTATATTCATTTATAACGGCACAAAACATACTCAACCCCTGCCAATTTTGGGTTCAGGAAAAATAAAAGCACTAACGATGCAATCATAAAAATGCTAGATCTGCTTTTTCACAGCATTGGAAAATAAGAAATATCCACTAGAATTTTTATTGACCTAAGAAAAGCTTTTGGGCACAGTAGACCACGGCATCCTACTCCACAAACTTGACCATTATGGTATAAGAGGCCATGTGCTTGCATATTTCAAAACTTACCTTACAATAGGGATCAGTATGTCACCATTAAAGACACAGCATCAACAACACAGCCACTTGATACTGGAGTTCCGCAGGGAAGTGTCCTTGGTCCCCTGCCTTCCTCATATACATCAATGATCTTTCCAAACGTATCTCAACACCTGAACCCCATTCTCTTTGCTGACCGACACGACTTATGTCATCTCTCACCCTAATCTTTCCACCCTCACACCATTGTTAATGAGGACTGATCAAAAATCGACTTGGATGACAGCCAATAAACTTACGCTTAACACTGACAAAACCTACTACATATGTTTGGGGAGCAGAGAGGGGATGTGCAAATTAACATTTAAAATCGACAACACCTAATTGCCAGGCATAAGAGGGCAAATTCCTAGGCCTATACCCCGACAACAACCTAACTTCAGCACCCATAAACCAACACATAACCAAAAAAAATAAACCAAAAAGGTTGGAACCTCTCCAAGATACGATACTTTCGTGCCGCAAACTGCCCTTCTCACACTATACCATTCTCTATATATCCATACCTCACTTATGCTATATGTGCTTGGGGTTTAACTGCAGCAACACACCTAAAGCCAATAATTACCCAACAAAAAGCCGCAGTAAGAATAATCACTAAATCCCATCCCTGGCAACACACCCCCCCCCTCTTCATAGATCTAAACTTACTCCCTGTTCAGTACATCCACACTTACTACTGTGCCCAAACTACATCTACAGGACCTTAAATTCCAATATTAACCTTTACCTAAAACGCTTTTTTGATAGTTGCGATAGAACCCACAGGCACAATACCAGACGCAAACAAACTCTATGACATTCCCCGTGTCCGACTAAACCTTTACAAAAATTCATGTATGTCAAAGGCCCTAAAATCTGGAACACCCTACCTGAAAATTCTAAAACTGCAGACACATTCATCACCTTTAAAACTACCATCAGAAACATCTTATCTCCCTGATACACCCTGTCAACTAAATTACACAATACCACCTGGTGGTTTAACACTTACCCCTCACTACCCATTTGACCATAAACAGAAATATCAATCTCAATCTCAAAATAATGAATCTTAACTAGTCATAAGTTGGCCTGTGATACTCCAATACTGAAACTATGTATAGTGCCAAAACAAAAGCATTCACATTGCTAAACTCACAAACTAGTATTTAGTCACTTAGCCATAATACCAACTTAACTCATAATTTTGTAATATTTGAAACTTAAGATTTAATTTAAGTCTGCCCGAAATGCCTAGCCATGCTAGGTGTTCTAGTGGTACACTCTGTAATTATTATTTTACTACATGTAAACAATACAATAACCAAATTCTGTAAACTCAGCATTGTAATCCTTATAGAGAATAAACTTTGAATTTGAATTTGAATATAAGGAGCCTAATTTATTTTTGCATTTGTTCCTGCCATCAAAACAAAGCAGTTGCAACAACTAGTGAAGTGTTTCACCAAAACAAAGAGTTTTAATTGGAAAATATGTATGATAGGCAATCCTTTATCCATCAAAGGACCTGAATGTGTGAAGGTTTATATCCAGAAACTGGTCATTTACCTTGAGATCAGTTCCTATTTTTGGCAGGAGTACTGAATTAGTCATTTTAGGAACTACATGGTGACTGCTTGAATAGCTGAGCCTCATTTAACCCTTTTACTATCCAGACCCCCAATCTGAATCTTGTCCTCAATGTCCAAGAATTTAAAAAAAAAAAAAAATTCTTATGAAATGGTAGAGAATTTTTTCCTGAAGGTAATAAAACAAAAAGTATGAAAATTGATGGAAAACTGACAAATTTATACTTTCTTAAATTTTGCAGCATCAACAATTTTGCCCACTTTGAATTCTATTTTAGGCCAATTACTTATTCCACTGGACCAAATTCTTAGCTGTTTCACTAGTATGTCTTCCATTTTATCGATTCAGCACAAGATATTGCCCAATCAACCATTTCAACTACCCAACAAAGTGATCAGAAATTGGTAATTTGGCCAATTTCACACAACTTTCACAACTTTCCAATTTCAAAACAGGGTTTAGAATAAACAATGCAGGCATTCCTGGCACTAAAATAGTATTTCCTCTGTTCATCTGTTATGTTCCCAGGCTTTACACATGAATTCCATTTTTATTTTTTTTCCACACAAAAAACAGAAGATTTACTACTGTATTATGCAATATTGTAATTTTTTTTTTTTTTCAACAAGTCGGTCGTCTCCCACCGAGGCAGGGTGACCCAAAAAAAGAAAGAAAATCCCCAAAAAGAAAATACTTTCATCATCATTCAACACTTTCACCACACTCACACATTATCACTGCTTTTGCAGAGGTGCTCAGAATATAACAGTTTAAAAGCATATACGTATAGAGATACACAACATATCCCTCCAAACTGCCAATATCCCAAACCCCTCCTTTAAAGTGCAGGCATTGTACTTCCCATTTCCAGGACTCAAGTCCGACTATATGAAAATAACCGGTTTCCATGAATCCCTTCACTAAATATTACCCTGCTCACACTCCAACAGATCGTCAGGTCCCAAGTATCATTCGTCTCCATTCACTCCTATCTAACACGCTCATGCACGCTTGCTGGAAGTCCAAGCCCCTCACCCACAAAACCTCCTTTACCCCCTCTTTCCAACCCTTTCGAGGACGACCCCTACCCCTCTTTCCTTCCCCTATAGATTTATATGCTTTCCATGTCATTCTACTTTGATCCATTCTCTCTAAATGACCAAACCACCTCAACAACCCCTCTTCTGCCCTCTGAATAATGCTTTTATTAACTCCACACCTTCTCCTAATTTCCACACTCCGAATTTTCTGCATAATATTTACACCACACATTGCCCTTAGACAGGACATCTCCACTGCCTCCAACCGTCTCCTCGCTGCTGCATTTACCACCCAAGCTTCACATCCATATAAGAGTGTTGGTACTACTATACTTTCATACATTCCCTTCTTTGCCTCCATAGATAACGTTTTTTGACTCCACATATACCTCAACGCACCACTCACCTTTTTACCCTCATCAATTCTATGATTAACCTCATCCTTCATAAATCCATCCGCCGACACGTCAACTCCCAAGTATCTGAAAACATTCACTTCTTCCATACTCCTCCTCCCCAATTTGATATCCAATTTTTCTTTATCTAAATCATTTGATACCCTCATCACCTTACTCTTTTCTATGTTCACTTTCAACTTTCTACCTTTACACACATTCTCAAACTCATCCACTAACCTTTGCAATTTTTCTTTAGAATCTCCCATAAGCACAGTATCATCAGCAAAAAGTAACTGTGTCAATTCCCATTTTGAATTTGATTCCCCATAATTTAATCCCACCCCTCTCCCGAACACCCTAGCATATACTTCTTTTACAACCCCATCTATAAATATATTAAACAACCATGGTGACATTATATTGTAATAATTGTATAAATAAAATCAGTGCATTCATGAACACATATTAAACTCACTAGTTGATGTGTATTGGACACACAACGTGATTAGTTTACTCTTGAACATCGGCAAAAACTGAACATTTCTGCTACTTTGAGCTTAATTTAAAATTATTTTCAGACTTAAAACCAATCAAAATCATCTCTAATTCTGTGATATATCTTCAATTCTACCAAATGAGACCAAGAAACTGAGAATACAACTATAAAAACCATACAAAAATAAACCACAATGTCGCTGTTTTAAACCAAAAACAGTCAAAGTTTTTTCTCATTATGCACTGTGTGCTGCAGGATTTTTTTTTTTATATGGTGTACACTTCTTACACAGACCCATTCTTTCATATCTAGGCCCAAATTTACTGCTCACAGTTTATCTGAGTGAGCTGAGCTCATGGTGTAGTACTACAGCACTGACAGTGACCTCAAAACCATAATACTACAGCACAGTCAGCAAAAGAGTTGATTACAATTAATGTATGCTAAACCATCTAGATATGTGTATGAATGTAAGAAATATTTAACTTACTCTTTGAGTATAGCAAACACTCCATTAATTTTGGGATGGGGATGAAAAATTGCTTATAAAATAAAATAAAATCAATAACAACTAAAGTAAAACTAATTACTAATACATGCTGTATTCAATATTTTTTCTTAAAATTCCTGCTATCTCCCACCAAGCTAGAGTGACTCCAACATGAAAAAAAGCATTCTCACGGTCACTTATTCAATCGCTGCCTTGACAAAAAGGTACCAACATCACAGTTCAGAGAACCCTCTCCAAACTGCAACATCAGCCCTCCTTCTGAGTGCAGGCATTGTACTTCTGTTCTCCAGGACTTAAATTTGGCTAACTTATTTTTCTGAATCACCTCATAAATGTTACCATGCTCGCACTTTAACAGCATATCAAATCATAAAAATCACTTTGTCTCTACTTGCTCACATCTAACATACATAAGCTTGTTGGATGTCAAAGTCCCTAGTACTCAAAATCTTTATACCTCCTCTTGTTTCCTAGGACAACTCCTAACCTTCCTTCCTCCACCCTAGATTTGTACACCCTCTTAGTAATCCTATTTTTCTCCATCCTCTCTAAATCTCCAAATCACCTTAATAACTCTGATAGCAGGAACACGAGCAAAAATAAGTTAGGTAAATAACGACCATTATTTATCATCACCTTCTGCTATACTTTATTTGCTGCTGTACTTTATTTGTATCCGTGCAAGAATTTGGAACCATTTGGGTTCAGAATTTCACTGATGGGTCATCTCAAAGTACAGTGGACCCCCGCATAACAATATTATTTCAATCCAGAAGTCTGTTTGGGTGCCGTTATAGACCGAATTTGTTCCCATAAGAGATATTGTGAAGTAGATTAGTCCGTTTCAGACCCCCAAAAATACACCTACAAAAGCACTTACAAAAATCCACTTACATAATTGGTCGCGTTGGAAGCTGATCGTTGTGCAGGGGTCCACTGTACTATGTTACCCTAATTTAAACAACTTACCAAGCAGTCCAGTTTTTGAATTTCTTAATTTCCAAAGAACCTTATTGGCTCTTCTTGCAGACATTTCATATACTGGATCCCCTATGAGGCGACTGAGAACCCCAAACTCCACTAAAAGTGATCCAGCACCAGCTGTACACGTGTCTGTACGACTTCCCTCTGGTACTCCCTCGCGTAGATTTACCTTTATGAAAGAAAATTTTATGTTAAACATTAAAATAATCCAATTTAAAAAATACTGTAAAATATGGTATGCACTACCTGTGAGTACTGGTAATAATAAAATTATTAAACTTTTAGAAAAACTCTAAACATCGCAAAAAAATCAAAAGAAAAATTTTGCATGTTCTCCACATTTTCACCCATAAAATGAAATGCCTCATTAATAATTTTGACATTACTCGAGGGTAAGGAAGGCCAGTCTTGGAGTTGTCAAAGGCTGGAAGGAATCTGGAAGCAAGGTCAGAGGCCATCTCCAGTAGTTCCCCATCATACCATTCAGGTTCAAGGTCCCCAAATGGTTTATTTTCATCCTGGATGAGGAGATGAGCTGATAATAATGCTCCCAACAATCTGAAATTTCCAAACAGTTTACTCAACCTTTCGGGAGATATTAAAATCTTATTAAAGGATTTAAATATCACAATACTTTTTAATTTCTATTTACAATACTGGACTTAGAATTTATTTCAAATCATAAATGTATCTGAAGAATAGAGATGGCCCACCTTGTTCAAGATTACCATAGGAGTTTTAAAGTATGTAAGTGGAATGCAAGGGAGAAATTAGTAAATGGCCTGCATTCCAAAGTAAATTACTGTAAAATGCCTTTATACTCTACTGAACTAATAAACAGCTCTCCACTTATACCACATACAGTATTATACACTCTCCTAGTAGTCTTATTTTCTCCATCCTCTCTAAATCTCCAAAGCACTTCAACAACCCCTCCTCAGCCCTCTGAATAATATATTTGGTAATTGGCTCACGAAATCGTAATGACACGATTGCAAACAAACCATACCACGGGCAGGATTTGAACCTGCGGTCAGAGAGTCTCAAAACTCCAGACCGTCGCGTTAGCCACTGGACCAGCTAGCCACAATAAGATTCGTCCAACTAGATATATTTCTACACCATAGGAAGGTTAGCATAGGCACCACTGTGACCACAAATGCAAGTTTTTACAGACGAATCTCCAGCTAGCGTGGCCGTGACGAACTCTAGCTCAAGTCCCCTCACTGCCGTCAACATGACTCACGAAATCGTAATGACACGATTGCAAACAAACCATGTTGGCGGCAGTGAGGGGACTTGAGGTAGAGTTCATCACGGCCACGCTAGCTGGAGATTCGTCTGTAAAAACTTGCATTTGTGGTCACAGTGGTGCCTATGCTAACCTTCCTATGGTGTAGAAATATACCTAGTTGGACGAATCTTATTGGGGCTAGCTGGTCCAGTGGCTAATGCGACGGTCTGGAGTTTTGAGACTCTCTGACCGCAGGTTCAAATCCCACCCGTGGTATGGTAATTCCTCCTCTTCAAAATCTCCAAAATCTGAATACCTTGCATAACATTCACACCACAGATTACCCACAAACACAATATCTCTACTATCTCCAGCCTCCTCATAACAAACATATTTATAACTCTATTAGACTACAATATCACAAACAAACTTTTTGTTCCATAACTTTAAATGTATGAAATTTAATGTATGAAAAAGGGGAAGGTACCTTGGGACTGGCAGAAAGCGTGTATAGTTCCTTTATATAAAGGAAAGGGGGACAAAAGAGAATGTAAAAATTATAGGGAAATAAGTTTACTAGTGAGCTCTACACGGGAAAGTGGAACAGAATTCTTCCTCCGTAAGCCATGCACATCGTAAGAGGTGACTAAAATGCTGGGAGCAAGGGGCTAGCAACCCTTTCTCCTGTATACATTACTAAATTAAAAAAGGGAAATTTTAGTTTTTTTCTTTTTAGACCACCCTGCCTTGGTGGGATAAAGCCAGTTCATTAAAAAAAAAAATTACTGAGTATACCAGGTAAAGTGTATGATAGGGTTATTACTGAAAAAATTAGAGATAAGGCAGAGAGCAGGATTGCAGATGAGCAAGGAGGATTTACAATGAGTAGGGGATGCGTAGATCAAGTGTTTACACTGAAGCATACAGTGGGCCCTCGACTTATGAAATCCAATTAATCCGTTCCAGATACCCAAAAGTATGAAAAAAAATTTTACCACATGAAATATACATTTTTATACACACAAAAAGAAGGATACATGCACAATATACTGTACTAAATGAAGAATAAATGACACTTACCTTTATTGAAGATGTAATGATGAGTGATAAGACACTGTTTTTCTTGAACACTCTGGGATTTTCAGATACATGAGTAAAGGCTTCACTTTGCAATCCCCACTAGCATTACAAGAAAACATGAGAGTTAGCCTGTCTTTCATATGCTTGTGTCCTGGGAGTGCCTTTTCCTTCTGAGTAATGTAGGTCCTGACTGGCATTTTCTTCCAGAACAGGCCTGTTTCGTCACAATTAAACACTTATTGGGGTTGGAATTTTTCAGCTTCACCATGCCTTATCACACTGTGTATGCCACTATGATCCTCAACCCTTTCAGGGTCCAAACGTCCAATTTCAAAAGTGCACACCAGTGTCCAAGAATTTTCAAAAATTATTGTTATTTTTTCTTATGAAATGATCGAGAATCTTTTTCTAAAGGTAATAAAACAAAAAGTACAAACTTTGATGGAAAATTGACGAAATTATGCTCTCGCGAATTTTGATGTGTCAGCGATATTTACGCATCGGCGATTTTGCCGACTTTGACTCCCATCTTAGGCCAATTACCTTACTCCAGTCAACCAAATTCTTATCTATTTCACTAGTATTACTTCTATTCTATCGATTGAGCACAAGAAATTGCCAACTCATCTGTTTCAACTACAAAATAAAGTGATTGGAAATTGGTAATTTGGCCAATTTAGTGCAAAGTTCAAAATGAATGGTTCAGAGAACCTACATGTTGATAAATTAGACACATGTGCAACTCTTGAGTATCTTGTTTGAGGAAACGTTTCGCCACACAGTGGCTTCATCAGTCCATACGTAGGAGAAACTTGAAGAACAGGAGGAGAATGAAGTAATCAGTCCCTCAACCTTGAGTCGATGTGTTCAGTCCATCAATCTTGAATTGATGGACTGAACACATTGACTCAAGGTTGAGGGACTGATTACCTCATTCTCCTCCTGTTCTTCAAGTTTCTCCTACGTATGGACTGATGAAGCCACTGTGTGACGAAACGTTTCTTCAATAAAGATACCCAAGAGTTGCACATGTGTCTAATTTATCAAAGTTCAAAATATTCCAATTTCAAAATAGGGTCCAGAATAAACAATGCAGGCATTCCTGGCACTAAACTAACATTTCCTCTGTTCATTAGTTATGTTTTCAGGCTTTACAAATGAATTACATTTTGATTTTAATTCACATAATGAATTTTTATTCAAACCAAAAAATAGAAGATTTACTGTCATGCAATATTGTAATAATTGTATAAATAATATCAGCACATTTGTGAACATATATTAGACCCACCAGCTGGCCTGTATCAGACGTGTGAGGTCATTTGTTTACTCTTGACTACTAAGATATTAGGTAATATGAAATTCAGAGACCAGCTGCTAAAAAGATTTAAAGCAAACAGACAGGATATTGCAGCACTAAATGAATTCCAAAGGGTGAGGAACAGAGTACAGAGACTTATAAAAGGAGCAAAGGCAAAGCACTATTGCTCAAAAATTGAAGAGTATAAGCATAACTCCAGAAAGCTCTAGCAACAACTAAAACAGTTGGGGTATAGCCATAAGCCAGAAGATAGGTCTAACATAGTACTCACTATCGATAATGAGGTATGCCACAAAACATCTAAGGTGGCAAATTGCTTTAATTCCTACTACACATCTGTTGCATCAACACTAGTAAGTAAACTACCAGCTGCATCAAATATCTTTAACACAGACTCTGATAAGTTTCAAACATACTATGCCAATAAAGGGGTAACCCCAAACAGTTGTCAACTAGTAAGTGTATCTCATGACTTTATTCAAAAAGAACTAAGCAGGTTAAACCCAACTAAGAGCACAGGCCCTGATAACATCCCGTCTAAGTTCCTAAAAGATGGTGCTTCTGAACTGTCAATCCCTATTGCTCACATAATAATCTATCAATCACCACTAATACCGTACCGGAGGGGTTCAAGGAGGCCAGAGTTACTCCTATCTTCAAGAAAAATAGTAGGTCTGATGTCAGCAACTATAGGCCTGCTAGTATACGCGGTATAATATCCAAAACTCTAGAAAGGGTGGTGTACTCTCAAGTAGTTAAGTACCTTAATGACAACAACATTCTACATAGCTATCAATCGGGCTTTAGAAGATCTTACCCAACCGACACCTCCCTAATTAATCTGATGGATTACCTGAGAACTGAAATGTCAAAGGGGAACCCTCATAGGTATGGTAACCTTAGACCTGCAAAAGGCCTTCGATACTGTCAACCACAATATATTATGTAAGAAACTTCAAGTTATCGGTATAGGTTCTGTAGACTGGTTTAAGTCCTACCTTAGCAACAGGAGACAAATTGTCAAAATCAACAAAACGGAATCAGAACCCCTGCCGATAACATGTGGAGTTCCCCAAGGTAGTATTCTGGGTCCCTTACTATTCTTATGTTATGTCAATGACATGTCTATCAGTGTCAAGTGCAAACTCCTACTGTATGCAGATGACAGTGCCCTGTTAGTGTCAGGTCAAGACCCACAAGATATAGCTAATGTTTTAACTCTGGAACTGGAGTTCTGCAGCAAATGGTTAGTAGACAACAAACTATCATTACACCTTGGGAAAACTGAAGCCATTCTCTTTGGCATGAAACATAAACTGAGAAGGGTAAATAATTTTAATGTCCAGTGTAATGGGGAGCCCATCACTTTGGTTTCATAAGTAAAACATCTGGGAATCCCCTTTGACCCATGCATGTCAGGAGAATTGATAGGGAACAGTGTAGTAAAGAAAGCAAATGCCAGACTGAAGTTCCTGTATAGACAAGCACAGTGTCTACCTACTGAGGCTCACAGGGCCCTATGTCTAGCCCTTATACAATGCCATATGGATTACGCTTGCTCTTCTTGGTACTCTGCCTTGGCAAAAAACTGAAAGATAGACTACAAATCACCCAGAACAAAATCGGAAGATTCATCCTGGGGCTGGGACCAAGAGAACATGTAGGCCAGGATGAATTACAGCAGTTGGATATGCTGAATGTTGAAGACAGAGTAAAACAACTGAAGCTAAATCGTGTTTATAAAATTACTCACAAACAGTGTCCAGAATATCTTGCTGTCAATTTTGTCAAGGTTGGGGACCAAAGCAATCATAGTACTAGGGGGAGAGAGCACAACTTTTTAGTACCCACAGTCATTGGCCAGGCTTCAAACACCTTTTATTATTTTTTTTATTAACACACTGGCTGATTCCCACCAAGGCA